AAATAGGTTATACTACAAGCGAGGTAACTTAGCTAATCTATAGAGTACTTTCTTAAGGATAAAGCAGGTATCTGGACCAAATCTATACTCCTCTATTCCCTTAGGGATTAAGTAGTAAACAGTATAAGGAATAGTAGTATTTAGGAAGGTATTTACTATATCCTATTGTCTAGTTTTCAACCTCCTTATAAAAGCTAGGGCAGTAATAGCCCTAAATACCTTGTAACTAAGTATAGTAGTATAGGTTTTATAGGTTAATAGCAATTAAAGATCCCTACGGACATAAAGCCTAGCCTTATACCTAAGAATCTTACTACTAGTTAGGTCTGTCTTATAGGCAAATACCTATACTAAAGGTACTTTATAGCCCTTATAACTAAAGAATACTCTAAATGTCCTCTTGCCTATAAGCTTCCTAGCTTTATCAAATACTGCTTGTCTAAATTACTAATAATAGATATATCTTTCTATCTCTTTCTAGTTAGTAGGGGATAATAGTAAACTTGTTACTTAGTAAGGTTCTTTAAGATTAGGTAAAGTGTAGGCTTAGAGTAAAGCTGTAGCAGCAGAACTTAGTTTATCTAACCGTCTAATTCTATAGTCGATCTATCGTCTATAGTTGTCTATACTATACTAATAGGTATCCTCTTCTTCTTCTACCTCCCTATCTAAGGCAGGGTAGTAATAATAAGAGGCCGAAAAAGCGGGTATTCCCGGTAAGGCCCCCGGGGCCTAACTAACTTAATAGTTAGCAGCTATATTGTCCTCGTCTCTAGCGGGTGTTTCTAGTAGTGTTAGGTATAATAACACTTATTCCTGTTATAGCCCTTTACCTCCCTGCTGTTTACTACCTCCCTAAGGTTAGATAGCAAAAGTCGGAATATTAGTAGCTAGAAAGGGGTTATCTATACCCTTACTTGTAGATTCCTTAGGTATTAAGATTAAGTTAATTACTATCTAGTAAATAGCAGTAGGAACTAGTTCCCCTAAGGTTTAGCTATTAATATCTAGTAGATTGTATCTCTTATTGTCTTTGAAGACTATATCTCTCGTCCTAATTACCTTGTTTAGGGATAGGATCTAGATCTAGAAAATATTGGTAGAGGTATACCTAATTAGGTACCTAATATAAGCTCTCTCTTCTATCTTATCTCTCTTAGTAATATCTCTACGGAGAGCGAAGGCCTTGTAACTAATAGGGTAGAGATAGCTAAGGAAGGGCTTCTTAGTAGTAACTTTCTTAAATAGAGTTATCTAATTAAGCTTAGCAGTAGGGGTCCTATTAAGAAGGTATACTACTAAATCTAGGAGCTATAGCTATAGGTTCTTTAGCAACCTACTATTAATTCTAAGAGTCCTAGATTTAGTAACAATCTCCCTTCTAGCAACCTTATTTACTCTATTCTAAGTAGGGGTATTAGCAGTAGTAGGTAAGGTAGTAATACCTAACCTAGAGATAGCTTTTCTAGTATCCTTCCTAATAGTAGCCTCTATATTAGAGCGAACTATAATAGTTTTGGTACTAAAGGACACTTCTATCTTCTTAAAATATCCTAGAAATTTAGCAATTGCTTATAGCTTAGTTGCTATAGGATTACTAATATAATAGCCCTCCTAGTTATAGTACTAGTAGCTATAAAACTTGAAGACTAACCTATTTAGTCTAGGGAGAGAAGGGGGTATATTAATTAAGTCCTATAAATAGATAGCTATCTTAGCATTCTCTGCCTTAGGCAGTACTTCCCTATACTTGTCTTTCCTCCTCGAAATTACTGCTTTAGCCTTAGCTAATATATAGGTGTTACAATTAATACTATTAAGAGTCTCCTTTTCTAACTTAATTACCTAGTATCCCTTAGATATAGGTTCTAAGTGCTTAATAGCCCTTACAGATAGATAGCCTAGCAAATAATACTATTGATTAACTATTGCTATTAAAGGTAGGAGTGGTTTGTAACTAGATTATACAGTAGTAACAGATCTAGTAGGTAACGTTAAGGCAGGTAAGGTTAACTTCCCCGCATTCTTAGAGTATAGGGTATATACTAACTTTACCTCCTCAATTCTAGGGGTTCTAGATAAACTAATAGTTCTAGTAACACTTCTTAGTATAGGCAACCGTTTAATAATCTAGTAACTATATCTGTCGTTACTGTATTTAGGGGTAAGGTATACCTAGAGCCTAGGCTCCTTATATGCTTAGCTAGTAATCAACCTATTAGGCTAGTTTCTAGTATTATAGTAAATACCCTTTTTGTTAAGGATCTGTAGTAAGACCAAACTTATAAAGAATCCCGGAATAAGCCTTACCTTAAGAAGAGTAAGCTTCCTAGTAACTCTATTACCTATATCTAGATTGATAGTAGTATCTACAATTACCTTAGGTTAGTACCTCTTGTCCCTAGAAATTACTGTATTAGAGGAGGTTAGTAACTCAGACCTAATAATCCTTGCCCTTATAGATTCGTTAATAATGTAAACATTAGCACTACTATCTAGAATTACTACGTTATAGAGCCGGGTATAACCAATTAATCTAACTAATACTTTAGGGGTTAAGGTCGATTCTAGGGTAGTAGTAGCAGTAGTATCCTCGACATCTATAGCTATACCTAACTTGTTCTTAGTGTCTTTGTCCTTCGACCCTTAAGCAGCGTTATATACTTAAACTACTTTATCTACTCTCTCTTTTAGATTCTTGTCCTCCTTAAATCTCTTCTTAATCTTCTTCTTAGTATTATCTCTTAGCTTCTATGCCTTAGGCCTCGGATACTCGGTATTAAGGTAATAGTATTCCTTCTATATATAGTTCCTACTATAGAGATATAGTTTACTTAGCCTTGAAGATAAGGATCGGGTTAAGGACGAAGATAATTCGGTTATAGCGGCGGTTAAGATACTAGCTACAGTAGTTCGGTGCTTGCTCTTGAATTTAGTATCTCTATTGTACTGAAAGTAGGACTACTAGGCTCTCAATTCTAAATAGAGAGTTGTTACTTCCCTATTATTCTACTTATTAAGTAGCCTCCCTGTCCTTATAGCTATATAGTCTCTATACATTAGAGTTATAGAAGACAACTATACTTAGGTAGATTTATTATCTGCTTATATACTAATAGTATCTCTCTTACTACACTAAGTAAACTATAGGTATATATAGTTAGAAATAGTCTTTCTATAAGGTAGAAGAGATAGGGTTTCTAACTCTTTCTTTAACAATTAAGTAGTAGTAAGGGTATTAGGCTTAGTATATTCTAAGAGCTTCTTAAGCTTCTCTCTTAGAGTCTTATAATCAATTATCCTATACTAGAGGTCTGTAGATATAGACTAGTTAATAATTGTTAAGAGTTTCTAGTACCTTTTCTACTTCTTAGACTATACTTCCTTTAAGTACCTATAAGTATATTAAGCTAAACTGAATTAGATAGAGGTAGTAGTCTTAGTAATTACAAAGGTGAATAGTAGAGAGTCCCTAAGTTAGACTAGGTTTAATAGATCTAGCTTATTAGTACTAGGGTCGATATCCTCCTATATTCTATGATTTCCTGCTTTAATCTTAATACGGGTAATCCAGACGTTCTAGTCCTGCTAGGTACGCAGCTTAGCAATCGACATCGTCGTTAATAAGGGTTTAGAGGAATTAGCTATAGTGTCTTCGTTGAATTCGTCAAACTACTCTAGAACAGCTTGATTCCTAGGATACGAACTACTAGGTATTTCTTTAACCTCTTAAAACTTAGGACTCGGGGATCGGTCGATTGTAAGCTAATCTAATAGGCTCTAGCTTTCTTCTCTTCGTCTGGATAAGCGGGTTTAGGCCGGTATAAAGTAATAGTATACGGTTCTTAGTTGTTGTCTTAATACAGCGGATTTTAATCAATCTTAGGTAATTCTAGGTTCTAGTAATTAATTAATTCCTTTAATTAATCAAGCAGAGCTAGCTAGGCTTATAACTATTAGAACTATACACTATACTAGCCTAAATAGGGATTAAGAGGAAGCCTTTCTAACCGAAAAGTAGGTTTAATTAATGTCTGAGGTCTAACCTCTAGAGAAGAGAAAAGAGGGGGGTAGGTATCCCTAACTCTATATACATATGCCAAGGAATCAGTAGCCCCTGTTATCTTATATAACTTATGTTACATAATGCTAGGGCACCTATGTCCTTCTGTCCAAACATATAGCTAGTAGCTAGCTACCTGTAGTAAGTAAGTAAGGTAGCAAGTACTGTATAGAAGGTAATAGTAAAGTGTACAGGTTACGAGCACATATACACCGCAAGTAATAAATGCTACATAAATGCTATATAGGGTAATGCTACGACGTACACAATACTATATCCTGCATCTCTCCGTATAATTAGACGTATATGTTATATACCTATATACCTGACCCTAGCTGTATGTATATATGTATATACATAGTATATAGCTCTTCTAAGTCCTACTTTCTAGGATTAGATCAACGGCAACGGCAACGGCAACGTAGCCAACGCTAAAGAAAAACCGTACAGGAGGATATATTGTATACGTGCCTGCGTAGCGTGCTTTTTTCTTTGCTGCTGTCTAAAAATAGTATAAGAGGTTTCTTTACTATTGTAGACTAAAGTAGATTGAATGCAAGGACGGACGGATAGACGGATGGACACTACTTAATGTACTTAGGAGAGTAAAGTAAGGTAAGGTAAGGTAAGGTAAGGTAGAGTAACATCCCGAATACGAGATACATAGTTGGATTCTTTTTTGATTTTGCTTAAAAAAGAGAGGACAAGGAATGTAGTTGTTACAATGTACTATATTTCTTGTAGTCTGCAGATCCCGAGAGTTATTTCTAGAGCGAAGAGGAGGGACGCCCGCACGCTATAGTTGAAGCTAGTGCATGTTTTCAACTCTTGGCAAAAAGATCAGACTCCATGACCTCCATACCTCCTGGGTTTATACCTGATTTATTACTACCTCCCTTCGGACCGACCTCGCTTCCGGCATCGCCCGGCCCCCGTGGTCCCGAGAACGAAACATTCCCTCTCTGCTATTCTTTTCTTTTCTTTTCCTTTCTATATATTCACTTTTTTCCGCCTCGTAACAACTCTCTCAGCCTGGCTCGAGATAGAATCCGACCCCAATAACTCAGCCGTCGAGATTTCCGATTCCAGCTCTCGTATGACAAACGTTCGGATTTCTACTGCGACGAGACTATCCACTCCCAGATCAATAATGCTCTGGTCTTTGCTCACATCCTCGCGAGAGAGGCCGATTTTGTCCGCGAGCAGGCGGAGCAAAGCTTCTGTGACCATGGCATGGGCTTCCTGAGGAGATGCGGCGGCTCGAAGCGAGTCTTTGATGCTGGCGTGTGCCACGTTGTGGGATATGGCGCTGTCGCTCAGACGGACCAAGTGACGGAATCGTGCATCGCGTAGGAATTCTGGGCGTTTGGCCGTGTTGTTTCCGCTTCCGGATGTGTAATCATATTGGATCCCAATGGCAATCTGGGAATGCTGTGCCTGGTCTTGCATGGCAAAACGAAGGAGGCGGAAGACATGTTCCAGCTTGACTGGACGAAATCCTTGCCTGAGCAGACTTTCGGCAACGTGCACATTATTCTCCAAGTAGCCGGCAGTTTGGATCATGCCCAGGTCCAACGATGTTGCTCGCAGTCCTTGAGCGATGCGGTACCGAGCAAGTGCATCTTGAAATGCGCAGCCTGCGGCGTAATTCGCTTGACCAGCGTTACCAACAATGCCAGCAACCGACGACAGCATGATGAAGAAACCCAGCTGTTTTTGCTGTGCTACCAGACGGTGAAGGTTGAGAGAGCCTTGGATCTTCGCTTCCACTGTTGCCGCCCATGCATTTTCTGTCATATTTTCGAAGATGGCATCCCGAAGCACCATGGCAGATTGTATGACCCCTCCAATGGGAAGCATCTTGCTGCCGATGATACCAAGTGCTCTCTGAACCTCATCAGCGCTCGAAATGTCGCACGTGAACAACTGGACATTGCACCCGCGGGCATTCATGATCCTCAGCCATTCAGCCTCTTTTGATCCATCTATGGGCGTGGAGCGAGACATCAAGGCAAAATTGCGCGCGCCGTGCTCATACATCCATGCGACAATCGCTCGACCCAGCCCGCCCATGCCTCCAGCGAGCAGATAGGTGACATCTGGCACCAGTCGGAATGGTCTCGTGGCATCGATCACGGGAACTTCCTTGTGGGCTTCCACCCTCAGTATATGATTTGCACTCGATGAATCGTGCTGCAGAGATCGAAACGCCGTGAAAACATCTGCCCAAGAGTGACTGGACATGGGAATGTCAATACCCAAAGCCTCTACTGCCATCAGAGCCTCATCGAGTAGATGACCACCAGCCAGTCCCACAGACGAAACCACGAGGTCGTTCCAGTCGATCGAGATGAAAGTAACATTCTTGCTTCCTGCAGCCAATTCGGTAGCTGGTGCACTTTCTTCGCTGTTATCGAAAGAAGATATATCAATGATGCGTCCTCCCGACCTCAGGCGGGAGCGTAGATCGCGGCACCCTGGACCAGTACTTTTGCCAGCATACTGATGCCATAGGATGATATCGATACCTTGTTCGTCCGTGAGCGTTTCCGAATCGTCGAAAATGAACACGCTAGCGCCCAGATACTTCGCGTATTGCACCGCAAAGTCTCTTATCAATCCAGACTCAATACTGACAACTACCAATTCGCCAGCTCGCACTTTCGCCACGCTTGTGAGGGCGTAAGCGATGGAAGTGTACAGTCCCGGGATCGCGGCTGCTTCTTCAAACGGGAGTAAAGTTTTGCGCACCGCTGCAGCATTTACGACTGCTCTGGTGGTAAATCCGACAGGAAGATAACCAAGCACATGGTCACCCAGGTGGAATTGGCCATGCAGACTGGACCCTATCGCAGTCACAACACCACTGAATGCACCCAGCCATGATCGGTGTCCGCCATCCACGAGGGCCGTCCTCAGATCTCCCGGAGTTACACCGAATGCCCTCGCCTCAATAGCAAGCTCTTCCGGCCCTGGGAGAAGACTTGGAGTGGATGAGCCTTGAATGGCCTCCCAGCAGAGCGTGCTCAGCTGTCCAGCTGTCGCCATAGTCAGCCGTTTGATCCCCAGGCTGCTATCATCATGCATTTCGGATCGCCGTTCCAGCTGTCGTTCCGTGTCCCCAGAGACAAATTTGCTGGCATGTTCATGAGCCAAGAGTCGTGTGACACACAACGCACCCTCTTCCTCGGAGAACTCGCTATCCAGACTGCTGCCTGCTTCGGTGCTGATGGCGGTTATTGTTTGCAGATGTTTGAGCATCTTCACCACGGCATCAACCCTTCTCATTTCGTACCCTGCCGGATCGCTGCCAAGTTCTACAGTAAGAAACGGTAGGAGAGGATATTCTGTTCGGACCACCCGAGCCAGGCCGACGACGCCGCTGCTGGGTAATGGAGCATTGGATAACGTTACATCAGTTCGACGCGTGAGCCAAATAATCCCCTGCGCAGAGGCCACTATGCGTTTCATGGCCGCAAACGCACCGGATGTGGGGTTCTCGAGTAGTCCTTCAGGTCCGTCGTCGAAAATGACATAGACACATCCAGCCTGACCTGCAATGTCGAATGTGGACTGCTCCACGTCCAGGAGAGTCTGGGTTTTGACAGCCTCCACCAAGCTGTCCTCCACAGGGATCGCAGAGCTAGTCGCAAGCAGATGCACGCGATATTGGGATCCTCCCGAACCAGTAGTTGGTTCTACGCATGTAGCCACGACGCCATACGGCGTAGTAGCGGAAGCCGAGATACTTTCAGGTGCGGACTTCAATACAGCACCAGAGAAGCCGTTCTGCTTCAGGGCACAGTCCAAGCCGTGTAAATCCAGGACAGGACTACCCTGACGATGGTTTTCCTGCGCTCGCCACCATTGCGGAAGTGTGCCCATAACCATGTCCAGGTATAGCTGAGGCTCCAGAACATCAAGGATGACCAGAACGCCATGAGGGTTCAGCAGACGGCGGATGTTACTCAAAGCTTTATCAATCGAGGCACACAAGTGTAGGCTGCTCGATAGCACGACCAGGTCGTATTTTCTGTCACCATAGCCCTCCCCATCTGATTCCTCCTCCTCGATGTTCATTCTTCTCACGTGAACATGCCCCGTGGCATCGTGGCTCGAGGCGATGGAGAAGAGACCGGACGGGTGCCCTGTATAATCGTATGTGACATCTGGGCTGCTTAGGATGTCTGCCAAATATCGACTTGGTTCTGCAATCATGTTGCCGTATTCGAGAACACGTAGCTTCGGCTGCTCGAACAACAAGGCTTCCACAATGCGTTGGACAGACTGCTGACATTTCTGCAGGCCCCTATGCTCGTGCAAAGCGCGATCTAGAAGATCGTCCTGCTGCAACAATGCATTTGGATCTTGTGTTCCCATGATGATGATTTCAGCAAGGCGTGGTCCTACGCGGTGGACGAGTTCCTCCATCGCAGTAGGAAGGTGGAGGTTTCCATTCACGAGAGCTTTCGACACAGGTTGTATGTCACAGCTCTTCTGAACTCCTCCCCGGGTCGCGTGTACATCCTTAAACGATTCAAAAAGCTTCATCAGGTGGTGTGGAGTTTCATTCGTTGGCTTCCAACTTTGCAGGGCCTCCAGGGCCGTCCGAATATACGACAGAGCGGCGTTTTCCAATGCACCAGTATTCACAGTCCCATTGACTTGGTTGCTGTCGTCAACTTCGAGCAGCCGCTGAAACTCGCCAGGTCGCAGAAATCGTACTACCGGTCCAGTCTCGAATCTATTGCAAAGAGCTGCACGATCCTGCTGCACTTGAGCATCTTGCCAACTTCCAAGCCCGATATACTCGATGTCTGCTCCCGATACCAGAATGTCGTCCGGCCATGCTTCATTCTTCACATGGAATTCGACGTCACATGATCTGTGTCCTTTCAGCACGGCTGATGTGGAGATGAGTAACTTGACTCCGGCAGTGTGATGGATACGAGCGTCAACCTCCAATCGACCGAGCCTTTGTGGAACCATGGTGTTCCGAAGCTGATCAGCCTCGAATAATGCACACAAGGGCGCTTGAAAGAATCCATCAATGGTTGCAGGATGGAGCGTCTGGGGTGGTTCATACTCCATCGGCATGAAGCGCGAGGTCTCCGGTATCGACAGCATGGCGAAGGCATGGTTTGGTTTGGTGAACACCTCATCGAGAGCCTGGAATGCGCCATCGTAAAAGTAACCGATACCACGGAGATCTGCGTACAAATTCTGTTTGGTACGACGCACCCAGGTGGGTATTTCTGCTTCCGCTTTATGGAAAGCTTGAAGCTTCTGAGATGTGGTCTGTTGCCTGGTGGTGGTGGTGGTGGTGGTGGTGCCGCTGCCGTCACTGAGAAGCATCCTTGCACTGCCCTCACAGTGCTCGCTCCATTGCCCGTCCACCGTACACGAGCGGATGACGAAGTTGTATTGGAGATCTCTCGTCTTCATTCCTTGTGCCATTTTGAAGCGAGGAAACAGTATCGTCTTCATCTCGACTCCAGCTCCGTCATCTGCAATTGGCAGTGCTTGTTTGATGAGAACATCTTCAAGAACATATCGCTCGATGGGGTGTATGTGGCCTAGAGCCAACCAGTGTTCATAACATGCCTGCAGGACTGCTGCTACGAAACCTCCTGCTGGATACAAGATATCTGATTGGATGACGTGCCCTCTGAGATATGGCAGCTCCGTAGTCCGAATGATGTGACGCCAACTTGGCTGTAAGTGGTCGAAATCGATCGAAGGGACTCCCAGAAGTGGATGTTTGGGGCGCGTTCGGAGTCGGTACTCTGCGCTGATGCGGGACTCGTGCCAATATTGGACAGAATGATCCCAAGGATAACTCGGCAGATCTGTCAACACACGCGGCAGCAGCTTCCCCTTGAGCGTATCACCGCCGAGCTGGGCAGCCGAAAGGTCGAGTGTGCCACGAGCGCAGAAGACTGACCCAATCAGGCTGAATATGCTATGCGTACTGCTGCTGTTACGGACTAAGCTGGGAAAGATTTGGTAGTCCAGTTCTGGGGCGGCCACCTCCTGTAGAGTTTGTCGCATCGGACCAGAGAGAGCAGGATGAGGACCGAGCTCCATGATCAAGACCTTGTGCCATTCTTCTTTGTGGTTGATGACATCCTGGACGAGCGTTTCGACGGCTGCGGAGAATTGGACCTGAGATACCAGGTTGGATACCCAGTACGCTGCATCGAGCAGACTAGAAGACTCGATGACCATGGCGTGGACGGATGAAACAAATGTGGTGGTAGAATTGAGTTCGTGAGTCTTCAAGTCGCCCAGAGCTTCATGATATGCTTGGGCAATTCGCTGCATGTGCGGAGAGTGGTAGGCAATATCGACACGGAGCCGACGCGCAAAGTGGCCACCTTCCGTCAGACGCTTGTGCACATATTCCACGGCGGCGACATCACCGCTGAGGGTGACGCTAGAAGAACTGTTGACGCAAGCAATCACGATCTGTCCCAGCTTCGAAGGGACGACATCCAGGTACGTCTCGACTGCGTCTTGGGACAGTCCCACTGCCAGCATGGCCCCCTGAAGCTGTGTAGGAGCAGCGGTGGCTTTGATGCGAGAGGCGCACACTCCCCGAAAATATGCAATTTTCATTGCGCCGTAGAGCGAGAGGGCACCGCTGGCATATCCCGCGGCTATTTCACCGCTGGAATGGCCAAACACGACATCCGGCTTGATGCCCACGACCGACAACATATCCACCAAGCCAATCTGGATGGCTGTACACAACGGCTGGGACAATTCCGCCTCATTCACGCGCGTTACATCTGCTGATGCATGCAGCTCTTCCCACAGAGACCAGGAAGCCCCGAGCTCCGTTACGACTGCTTCACATTGCTCCAAGCTGTGCCGGAAATGGGGCGAATGCTCGATCAGGTCCACGCCCATCTGAGCCCACTGTGCACCTTGGCCCGTGAAGCAGAAGGCAACCCGAGGCACATTCCCACCAACAGACGCTGCCGTTGCGCTTTTGGCGGGCGCTGGCCCCCGAAGAGCGTGCACCAAGTCATCTTGGGTGGATGCGACGACGTAGTCGCGATGCAGAAAGTGAGTGCGGCGGGTGTTGAGAGTGAAGGCCAGACTGTCCAGATCCAGGCGGGAACGAGTGTGGTCTTGGACGTAGCTCGCAATCGCTTTCTTTCGTGCCGCCAAGGCTCGGGCCGTCTTGGCGCTCAACATGAAGATGCGTGTCTTGTCAGCAGGAACTTCTCCATCTTCACTGCTTCCATTATGGGCAACGAGTCCATTATGACCATCTCTTTCATTACGACCATCAATTCCATTCTGGCCATTAAGTCCCTCATGGCCATCAATTCCATCATGACCATTGATTCCATTATGGCCGTCATCTCCATCATGACCCTTGATTTCATTGTGGCCATCACCTCCATTATGACCATTGAGTCCATTGTGGTTATTGATTCCATCATGGCCATCATCTCCATTCATTGGAGGCAATCGTTCCAGATACTCCTCCAACTGGTGGGCACGCAAATAACCTCGGGCGTCATCGAGAATCACGTGCGCATTGGTGCCTCCGTAGCCAAATGCGTTGACGGAGGCTCGCAGGAAGATGGCACTTGGATTGGCGAGCGGCTGAAGATGAGTGGCGACCTCGAGATTCAGCCCTTTCAAGTCAATCTCGGGGTTGGGTCGTTGGAAATCGTAATTCGGCACAATCCACCCCTTTTCCAACATCATCACCACCTTGATGAGCCCGGCCAGGTTGGCGCAGCTTTCCAGGTGTCCGATGTTGCTCTTGGCTGCTCCGATGACCAGCGTACGGCCGCCTCTCTTCTCCCGAAGGCATTTAGCAATTGTCGACCCAATGGCTGATACCTCGACGGGGTCTCCCGCCGCAGTGCCGGTGCCATGCGCTTCACAATATATCGTGTCTTCCATGCTGAGCCCTGCGGACTCGTACGCTCCGCGAATCAGATCCATCTGTGCCTGCTGCGAGGGCATCGTGATGCCGGGGGTGCGACCGTCTTGGTTGCAGTATGAAGCGCGAGCAATCGCTCGAATCGGATCTCCGTCAGCCAGTGCCAATTTCAAAGGTTTGATGATCACCGCAGCGACACCTTCGCCACGGCCATAGCCAGAGGCGCGATCGTCAAAGGTGAAGGATCGTCCTTCGGGAGAGAGAAAGCTGAACACACCCCAGAGGTTAGGTATGGATTAATTCTACTATACGACTGATTTTGCTAAGATCAAGCTTACTTCATATGTGTCATGCCCACCATGGGTAATGGATCCAGTATGATAGTGGCCGCAGCGACGATAGCAGTGGTAGCTTCTCCTGTCCTGAGGCTCTGGCAGGCTTCGTGGAAAGCAACCAGACTCCCCGAGGAACCCGTGTCAAGCGTGATCGAGGGACCCCTGAGGTCAAAAAAGTACGAGATCCTGTTCGCCATCAACGCGCTACCGGTGCCAACCGTCTGATACTTGGAGATATCCTCGGGGTCCCGCGTCGTGATGTACGAATAATCCAAATTATACAAGTTGACAAACACCGACGTTCTGCTTCCTGCAAGCTTCTCGGTGGTAATGCCAGCGCTCTCCATGGCCTGGAACACGCTTTCCAACGTTAATCGTTGCTGCGGATCGATCGCCTTCGCTTCTGGAGCAGAAATGTTGAAGAACGGAGCATCAAACGCCGCTACATCCTGCGTCAGAAAGTGCGCCCCGTGGATATTGAACGTGCCATTCGTGTCCGACTTGGGGTGCCAGTGCGCATCGAAGTTGAATCGATCCGAAGGTGCCGTATCCGTCCACGCACTGCGTTTGCTCTTGAGCATTTCCCAGAACTTCTCGGGACTGTCCGCTCCTCCGGGGAAATTGCATGCCATGCCCACGATGGCTATAGGTTCTGCTGCGTGTTGCGAAGTCATCTTTTCTTTTGTGGTGGTGGCTGGCCAGTGGGTCAGACTAATACGATATATGATGTCTCTGATTTTGATGATCGGCCAACAGCAATGTATGTATATTTTGCCTCCCTCTCGCAAGAATTCGATACACTACTCACTCCAAGTGTTTTATAGGACCGAGAGATGTGTGTTAGGGAAGATAAGCGGTCGTGAAACAAAAAAGGCTAACATGTCTACTACCTATCTCAAGATCTGTAAGTCCCTGTTATCATCATCATAGATGTCTACACCAACATCTCCCATCTCTGTGTTGTATTGAATTCTTGTAAGTATTATTGAGTTTTCTCTAGGAAACAGGAACGGACCGCACAGCAGAAAGAGAGAGAGAGGGAGGGAGAGACCAAAAGAGCTGGAGAGAGACAGCGATAAGACATACTCCCTCTCACCCTGGAAACCTCACCGCCGTAGGCAAAAGATGTCGGCCGGCTCAATGCAACGCACTACTGTACCCAGCCAGATGTTACCAACAACTTGCTCATGTACGTCTCTCAAAAGCCCTACCTACCTACCTACCTAACTACCAACTTGTAGTAACGGCTATCTACACTTCCTTCCTTCCTCCTTATTTTAGAAGGCGTCTTCGATGAAAAGAGTCGAATCTTTCTTTATGTCTACCTGACCTCATCTATCTCCTGTACATATAAAGAGAGAGACGAAAGAGAGAACTCGATTCGCAGTAGCAGTACCGGGATTGGTTATTCCGTTATCTTTTTTTCTTCTTTTCGGGGAAACAGTAGTAGTATACTAACTAGGGTTACCGAACATATCGATCGATCATTTTACGACCATCGAGTGTTTTTTGCCTAAAGGAAGGGAAGCAACTAATAGGTACCTTATACAAGCTTGCTACGAAAGAGAACGAACGTTGTTAGGGCAAGGGATATGTGTATATAACTGAATGATCGATTCAAGCTTTATAAGCTTTTCTAGCCTTGTAGTATATAGACCCCCTCTCTACCCTCCCTTGCTAGACTCTAGATTATGTCTATGTACTAAGTACTCTCTCTCTCTCTCTCCTATCTGCCGGACTTTCTACTTCTTTTCTCGGACTTTCTATTCCCCTTCTCGTCGGACAATCATTCCAAACTGTGACTTTCTTTTTAGACAGCGATTTTACCTCGTTGTGCTTTTACCGGGAAAGGATGCAGCGATCGGTCTGTTGATCCCTGGGTTAGTTTGGGAAGGTTAGTTGGGTTGGTTGAGTTGGTTGATAAGGAGTGGGCGATATCTATCAGAAGAAAAGGATATTGTCACTCTGTTGGATAGATAGCTTGTGATTGTTGTACCTCTGGGAGAAAATGACGATGATAACTGATAATGATATGTCCAGCGGATCGCGAAGCTGTTTTGTCGTTTGACTTCAAGGTATATGTACTGTCTCTCTCTCTCTCTCTCTCTCTCTC